GGAGGAGGAGGAGGAGGAGGAAGACGACGCGCAGAGCTCTGTGCCGCCGTTGTGTGAAATCTGCCGACGCGTTTCTCAAAGGATCCGACCGGCTGCCTTGACGTGCTTAAACCTGTCGCTCTCCTCACCCTCCGGAGCAACGCGGGCATCGGCCGCCACGGAGGGGCAAGGCCACGGGACCGACCCCGGCCACCCTCTCCCACCGAGAGGCTCGGATCAAGAAAGGGTTACTGTAAAGTGCTCTTCATGGTGCTGCCTTTGGAAAGTGTTTGGAAACTTCAATGGGTCCAAAACTCCACAGCAAGACTGTTAACTGGGGCTGGCTACAGGTGTCACAGAACTCCCATTACTGCTGCTTCACTGGCTATATTACAGCAGCTCCACTGTTTCCAGGCACAATTCGAGGTGCTAGTTTTAACCTGTAAGCCCTAAACAACTTAGGTCCAAGCCACCTTAATACCATATCTCCCTGCACGAGCCTGCCCAGGTTTTAAGACCCTTTCTCTTAATCCCGCCACCATTACTGGTGCATTTAGTGAGAGCACAAGAGAGGAACTTCTCTGTCGCTGCACCCAAACTATGGAACTCCCTTCTACAGGAGGCTAGGTTGACCCCCCCCCCTTTTCTATCCTCTTCAAGCAGGCTGTCTCTTAGTGACTAGCTGCTTAAGAGCAGATTTTTAAAACAGGGCTGTTGTGTTGTTTTAATGTGTTTGTAGAACTACTGCTACTTATTATATATCTATTCTTTTAATACAAATTGTTTTAATATTGTAAGCCATCTTGTGTCTTCTTGAGAATGTTGAGGTATAAATATTTTAAAGGAATAAATAAAACAAATATTAGCTACTAAACAGTCACAAGCACATCAGCCATTAGAGAAGGGAAGAGACCCTTCCCAAAACAGCTAAAAGACTATAGATGTGAGACCTTCTTCCCCACACACTCACCTGCTGCCACACAGGAGGTCCTGCCCCACCCTCTTCTTTCTCCTAACCGTAATTTTCCCAGACCTCTGCTTCATCATCTTCTGTTCTTCCCATGCTCCCCACTTTGTGTCTCTTCCAATTTTCTCTCCCCACCCCATTTCCCCCCTTCTTTCTCCCATTTTATACTGCTGATATTCATGAACTCATTCTGCTTCTGTTATGGAAAGTTTACTTTCTCATTTAAAGGCTTAAGTTCACCCATCTAACTTTTTCCTCTTCCCTCTCTCTAGCTTTTTATTTCAACAAAAATAGTTTTGCAGCCGGACTGACTCATCATGTATACATTTCTTTCCACGTATTTAAAAAAGGTAAACATTCCAAAGATCCATCCAGCTCACCTATCTCTATAAGCTACTGTTTCTTTGGGTGGATGAGGACAAGCAGAGGTGTCTGCGAGAAATTTTAAACCTCCTCTGTCAGAATCCTGAATATGGGTTAATGTGAGAAAGAAATGGGGAGGAAGAAGAGATCCCTCTGGATCCCATTAAACTCAGTGGAGGAACGCGGGGATTTAAATATAATAAACTAAATAAAACGGCAAATGGGCACGCAGCAGTGCCAAGGCGGGCTATACAGGGAACGTCCACACATCCTTGTACTCTTAGGGCGGCGGCAAGCTCCGTAACTGTTTATATAAATGTATCCTC